AAAAAAAAAAAGATTTTCATTTAAAATTAAAAATCAAATAAACAATTATTCATAACTTACGAATCAATATTAATTTGGACATAAATGTAATAGTTAATTATTTATAGTTTAATAAATTACTCAACTATTTAAGTCTTTTGATCTAAATAGTTTAAACAAAAATATATTCATTTAATTAATGAAACAATATAAGTTTTATATTTATACTTATACTTATTATTCACATAGATTTTTAAATATATGAAATTTTTTTACCAATATAATTATTTTATGTCAAATTTATGTATAAAAATTTTGAAACGACACTTATGTTGAAACGAATATAATGTAATTTATCACCAGTTACTAATTTTAAATAGACATTTTTATGTAATTTTTCACAATTTAAATTTTATTAAACATTTTCAATAAATTAATATAGGTAACTTATATTACATATTGATTCCATATTTTTAATTTATGAATATTATTTAATGAGAATTTTTAATTTATAAAAATTAATGAATATCTCTTACACGAGATTCGTACTAGTTTTGCATCTAAACAATTGAAAAAGAACTCTTCCATAATTTCTGAACTTTGGTCTTTCTATGTACATTACTTTTATCTTTATACTATTATTGTCTTCATAATATGCTATGTCATTGCTTCTTTGAGATCTAGCAACATTTTCCACACTAAGGTTGGCCACATGACCTGATGCCGTACGACCATGTCCTGATCTATTTCTTAAAATATATAAAAATGGCAATAAGAAAAAGTCCTTTTGTTAGTATATGAGAATGTGGTATGTGAGAGAGTGACAGCCTAATACTTTTGGGTACACTATACGCTATTTTTTGAAGAGTAAGGATTTAACTTCTTTTCTTTAACTTTGTAAATTGTAAGGCTATTTTAAAATTAAGGTTATTTTTCAATGGTAGATAGTACATATATCAATTGATTTCCTTGTATGTGATTCTCTCTCTCTCACTCTTTTTTAATCACTCGCATTGTGTTGTTGTACCATTCCCAAGTGAACAAGTGGCTATATTTAGACTGTCTACGTCACTGTTTATTTCACATTTCCATGTTGTAGGCTGTCTTATTTTCCAATTTTCTTCTTTGTTGGTGCAGCATCACTTGTCATCTCTGCTTGCGTCCACTGATGCGGATGTTGTGGAGGCTTGCCTGCAGACGTTGGCAGCTTTTTTAAAAAAATCCATTGGAAAGTACGTTATTAGAGACGCTTCTCTGAATTCAAGATTATTTTCTTTTGCCCAAGGCTGGGGAGGTAAAGAAGAAGGTCTTGGATTGGTTTCCTGTGCTATACAGAATGGATCTCATCCGATTCCTCTGGAGTTGGGTAGCACTCTGCATTTTGAATTTTATACTGTGAATGGATCTTCGAATGAGCCCACAGCTGCAGAACAGCCAACTCAGGGTTTACAAACAATACAAATGACTGACGTGAATGCAAGAAAAGAGTCTGATCTTGAACTTCTGAATGAATTGGTCACCCAATATAAAGTTCCCCATAGTTTGAGATTTTCTCTTTTGACAAGATTGCGATTTGCTAGGGCGTTTGGATCCCTAGAGACAAGGCAGCAGTATACTTGTATACGGTTGTATGCTTTTGTAGTTCTTGTTCAAGCATGCAGTGACACTGAGGACCTGGTTTCCTTCTTCAATGCTGAGCCAGAGTTCATTAATGAGTTGGTTACTATGTTAAGCATTGAAGATGCAGTTCCTGAAAAAATTCGAATTCTAAGTCTTCTTTCTTTGGTTGCTCTTTGTCAAGATAGGTCTCGTCAGCCTACTGTATTGACTGCTGTGACATCTGGGGGGCACCGTGGCATTCTATCTAGCCTCATGCAGAAAGCAATCGGCTCGGTTGTTAATAATTCATCGAAGTGGTCTGTTGTTTTCGCGGAGGCTCTGTTATCTCTTGTTACTGTCTTGGTGTCTTCATCATCAGGATGCTCAGCCATGCGTGAAGCGGGATTTATCCCCACTCTTCTACCTCTGTTGAAAGATACTGATTCCCAGCACTTGCATTTGGTTAGTACTGCTGTACATGTTCTGGAAGCTTTTATGGATTACAGCAATCCAGCTGCTGCTCTTTTTCGTGATTTGGGTGGTTTGGATGATACGATATCACGTTTAATGGTAGAAGTATCTCACGTTGAAAATGGTTCCAAAAAGCAAGCTGCATCTGGTGAAAGTTTGGAGTATGGTGGTTCTCAAGTAGTTTCAGATAGTTCTTCGACAGGGCATGATAGTCTGCAGCCACTGTATTCGGAAGCTTTGGTTTCATATCATCGTCGATTATTGATGAAAGCCCTGCTACGTGCTATATCATTAGGAACTTATGCACCTGGGACGACTCGTATGTATGGTACAGAAGAAAGCTTATTGCCACAATGCTTGTGTATAATATTCAAAAGGGCAAAAGATTTTGGTGGGGGAGTATTTTCACTTGCAGCTACTGTAATGAGTGATTTAATCCACAAAGATCCTACCTGCTTCTCTGTCCTGGAATCAGCAGGTCTTCCTTCTGCCTTCATGGACGCTATCATGGATGGTGTTCTTTGCTCCGCGGAGGCCATTACCTGCATACCTCAATGTCTTGATGCCTTGTGTTTGAACAACAGTGGTCTTCAGGCTGCGAAAGAGCGCAATGCGTTGAGGTGCTTCGTAAAAGTTTTTACGTCTAAAACGTACCTGCGAGTCCTTTCTGCTGATACATCAGGTTCCCTGTCAAGCGCTCTGGATGAACTAATGCGCCATGCTGCATCGTTGCGTGGGCCTGGAGTTGATATGCTGATCGAGATACTTACCGATATTGGAAAAATTGGATCTGGGCTTGAATTGGCTTCTCCATCCTCAGATCCTCCAAGCTCCTCTCAGCCAGCTCCTATGCAAACTGAATCTGAGAATAGAGGTGTGGTCTCGATGGATGATACAGAATCATCAAGGCATGGAACTAATGAACAATCGACCGATGTAGTCCCCGATGCGTCATCATTGAATGTCGAATCTTTTTTGCCTGACTATATAAGCAATGTTGCTCGTCTTCTTGAATCGGTTCTTCAAAATTCTGATACTTGCCGGATTTTTGTTGAGAAAAGAGGGATCGAATGTGTTCTGCAGTTATTCTTGTTGCCTTCTCTGCCCCTCTCTGTTTCTCTTGGTCAAAGTATAGCTGTTGCATTCAAAAATTTCTCGCCGCAGCATTCTGCTTCTCTTGCTCGTGCAGTATGTTCATTTCTGAGAGAACATTTAAAGTCGGCGGAGGAACTTTTGACTTCAATTAATGGACGCCAGCTTACTGAGGTGGACTTCTCCAAGAGAGTAAAGATCTTGAGGTGCCTCTCCACGTTGGAAGGGATTCTGTCTCTTTCAATTTCGTTACTGAAAGGGACCACTACCTTGGTCTCTGAACTGGGGTCTGCTGATGCAGATGTCTTAAAGGATATTGGGAAGACTTACAGAGAAATTCAGTGGCAAGTATCTTTGTGTTGTGAGTTGAAGGTTGAGGAGAAGCGGACTGCTGAAGTGGAGCCTGAAAATGCAGATGCAGGTCTATCTAATGTGGCTGGAAGGGAGAGTGATGATGACTCTAATAATATTCCATCCATTAGATATATGAATCCTATCTCAATACGAAGTAGTTCCCACTCTCAGTGGGGAGTTGAGCGTGACTTCATATCTGTGGTTCGTGCAAGTGAAGGTTTCAGTCGCCGCAGCCGGCATAGTTTGGCTCGTCTTCATGGTAGCAGGTCAGCTGGAAGGCAGTTGGAAGCTTTACAAATTGATACTGAAGCTGGAACAACTAATGCAGAGGCTTCTTCCCATGGGATGAAGAAGAAGAGTCCGGAAATGGTGGCAGTAGATATTTTGAATAAGCTTGCTTCAACCATGCGCTCTTTCTTCACAGCACTGGTGAAAGGTTTTACATCGCCAACTCGTCGAAGGACTGAAACTGGGCCTTTGAGTTCTGCTTCGAAGACCATTGGAGCCACCCTTGCAAAAGTTTTTGCGGAGTCTCTGGGTTTCTCTGGGTACACCAGTTCCGCTGGAGTCGATGTATCGCTGTCAGTCAAGTGTCGCTATCTTGGGAAGGTCGTGGATGACATGGCTGCCCTTACGTTTGATAGCAGAAAGCGCACTTGTTACGCTTCTATGATCAATAAATTTTATGTGCACGGGACCTTCAAGGAGCTTCTTACGACGTTTGAGGCAACAAGTCAGTTGTTGTGGACTGTTCCCTGTGCTACTTCTGCACCAGGTTCTGATCTTGAAAAAAGTGGTGAAGGGAGCAAGCTGCCTCACAGTTCCTGTCTGATCGATACATTACAAAGTCATTGTCGTGAGCTCGAGTACTTTGTGAATTCTGGAATATTATTGTCTTCGCCCTCGGCATCCCAGGCGCAGGTACTTCTTCAGCCTGTTGAAATGGGTTTGTCCATCGGGCTGTTTCCCATTCCCAGGGACCCTGAAGCATTTGTATGCATGCTGCAGTCTCAAGTTCTAGATGTGATACTTCCTGTCTGGAACCATCCAGTGTTCCCCAACTGTAGCCCTGGTTTTATAACTAACATTATTTCTCTAATGACCCATGTATACAATGGTGTTAGCGATTTAAAACAAAGTCGCAGTGGATCATCTGGACTAGCAAACCAACGCTTCATGCCGCCGCCTGATGAAGCAACTATTGCTACCATTGTTGAGATGGGCTTTTCAAGAGCAAGAGCTGAGGAGGCGCTGAGGCGAGCCGAAACAAACAGTGTTGAGATGGCAATGGAGTGGTTGTTCAGTCATGCTGAAGATCCTGTCCAAGAGGATGATGAGCTCGCTCGTGCACTGGCTTTATCACTGGGAAGTTCAACAGAAGCACCTAAAGTCGATGATGTTGACAAGTCTGCCGATGCCTTGAACGGAGAGGGAAACTCGAAGCCCCCTCCGGCTGATAATGTTCTTGCTGTTGCAATGAAATTATTTGAGGGTAGTGATGCCATGGCGTACTCGCTTACAGATCTGCTTGGGACTCTTTGCAGCACGAACAAAGGGGAGGAACGCTCCAAAGTGATTTCGTATATCGTTCAGCAGCTAAAACTTTGTCCACTCGACTTCTCCAACGACAGCTGTACATTGGGTTGGATCTCACATACCCTAGCGCTGCTTCTTGCAGAAGATGGAATCACTCGAGAAATTGCTGCGCAAAGTGGAGCTGCTGTGGTGGTCATCGATATCTTGATGAATTTTATGTCTAGGACCGAGGCTTCTGCAGAGATTCTTGTGCCCAAATGCATCAGTGCATTACTTCTTATATTGGATGATTTGGTGCAATCTAGGCCCCGGATATCTGGTGGTAATGGTGAAGGGGTCGTACCTGGATCGTTGTCTGGTTCATTGAGGAATCAAGCATCACCTGAAGCAATCGAGGACAAATCAATTCCATCTGATCTGGACAAGGATAATGGCTCTACCAAGGATGGGTCTGCCTTTGAAAAAGTTTTTGGCAAACGAACGGGCTATTTGACAATGGAGGAGAGCCATAAGGTACTTGCAATTGCTTGCGATTTGATAAAAAGACACGTACCTTCAATCGTTATGCAGGCTGTTCTTCAGTTATGTGCTCGCTTGACAAAAGTACATTGTTTGGCTTTGCAATTCCTTGAAAGTGGAGGCTTGGTTGCTCTGTTTGGTCTTCCAAGGAGTTGCTTCTTTCCTGGGTATGACACTTTAGCATCTGCTATTGTTCGGCATCTTCTTGAAGATCCTCAGACGTTGCAAACAGCTATGGAAGTTGAGATACGGCAAACACTGAGCGGAAGCAGGCACGCTGGGCGTGTATTGGCGAGAACATTTTTAACATCAATGGCACCCGTTATATCCAGAGATCCAGAGGTCTTCATGAAAGCTGTAGCTGCTGTGTGTCAGGTGGAGTCCTCAGGAGGGAGGACCATTGTGCTGCTATCTAAAGATAAAGACAAAGAAAAATTAAAAGGTGCTGAGGCAGGAGTATCCACTAACGAATGTGTACGAATAACTGAACAGAAGGCTCATGACGGTTCTACTAAGTACGCCAAGGGTCACAAAAAAGTTTCAGCAAATCTCACCCAAGTGATTGATTATCTTCTTGAAATCGTATCAACTTTCCCTTCTTACAATGGGGATGATGATTGTGGAGGCCATTCAAGTGCAATGGAGGTAGATGAACCAACTATCAACATGAAGGGTAAATCGAAGGTTGATGAAACTGTGAAAACTGGATCTGACAGTCTGTCTGAGAAATCTGCAGCCCTAGCTAAGGTGACATTTGTTCTCAAGTTATTGAGTGATATTCTCCTTATGTACGTTCAAGTTGTCGGCGTAATCTTGAGACGGGACCTGGAAATGTGTCAGCAGCGTGGGTCCAGTCATTTTGAATGTCCTGGACAAGGGGGCATAGTTCACCACGTGTTACATCACCTACTTTCCCTGTCAATGGATAAATCTGCTGGCCCAGATGAGTGGAGAGACAAACTTGCTGAAAAAGCTTCATGGTTTCTGGTTGTATTGGCTGGCCGTTCCAGTGAAGGAAGGAGAAGGGTGGTGAATGAACTTGTGAAAGCCTTGTCGCTATTTATAAATTTTGAGATTAACTCTTCCATTAGCAGTTTATTGCCTGATAAGAAAGTTCTTGCCTATGTCGATTTGGTATATTCCGTTTTATCAAAGAATTCTTCGTCCGGCAACCTACTGGGATCTGGGTGTTCACCTGAAATTGCCAAGAGCATGATTGATGGAGGAGTTGTCCATTGCCTATCTAGCATTCTTCAGGTAATTGATTTGGACCATCCTGATGCACCAAAAGTTGTGAATCTGATACTCAAGTCTTTGGAAAGCCTGACTAGGGCGGCAAATGCCAGTGAACAACTTCTGAAAGCAGATACATTGAATAAGAAAAACGTAAACGATCCAAGTGGAATGTCTGATACACAGCCTTTTGGTACTGAGACTTCTCAAGAACTACAATCTAGTGAAAACAGAAGCTCACAACATGGACTCATGAGTAATGGTGGTTCAGAAGCACAGCCTACTGATATCTCTTGGGGAAGTGGTGGCCAGAATGCAAATCCAATCCAACCCCATGAGCAAGAGATGAGGATCGAGGAGGATCCAACTAACAATGTGCCTGTGGATCTTGGGATGGATTATATGCGTGAAGATATGGAAGAAAGTGGTGCCTTGCCCAACACTGAACAAATTGAGATGACTTTTCATGTGGAGAACACAGTACATGATGATATGAACGAGGACGAGGATGGCATGGGTGATGATGGTGAGGATGATGGTGAGGATGAGGATGAAGACATAGGAGAGGGCACTGGTTTAATGTCGTTGGCTGATACAGACATCGAGGACCATGATGATGCTGGCTTGGGCGATGAATACAATGATGATATGGTCGACGAAGAGGACGACGACTTCCATGAAAACAATGTAATTGAGGTGAGGTGGAGAGAAGCCCTTGATGGTTTAGACCATTTGCAGGTCCTTGGACAACCTGGAACAGCGGGAGGTTTAATAGATGTGTCTGCTGAAGCTTTTGAAGAAGTAAATGTTGATGAGTTCTTTGGAATCCGTAGGACATTTGGCTTTGAGCGGCGTCGTCAGACTAACAGAACTACCTACGAGCGGTCTGTTTCAGATGGAAATGGTTTTCAACATCCTCTCCTTTCAAGGCCATTGAATTCTGGTGATACAGGTTCAATATGGTCATCTGCTGGGAACTCTCGGGATTCAGAAAGCCTTTCTTCCGGTAACCTTGATCTCACGCAGTTTTACATGTTTGATGCTCCTGTTCTTCCCTATGATAGTGCCCCAGCTAATCTGTTTGTTGATCGTCTGGGTGGTTCCGCGACACGGCAACTAGCTGATTTTTCTGTTGGTTTAGAGTCATTGCGTGGGTCGGGTCGAAGAGGGGCAGGTGATGGCCGGTGGTCTGATGATGGGCAGCCCCAAGGTGATGGTCAGGCAGCTGTGATTGCTCAGGCTGTTGAAGGTCAATTTATTTCTCAGTTGAGCAATAATAACCCTCCTGAAAGGCTTACGCAGAACGTAGCATTGCCGGAAACGCAGGAAGGTCCCATGTCTGCCACTGATATTCAGCAGGCAGTGGCTGTTGATAGCACTGATGCTCAGCTAATTGATGATTGCCATATTAACAGCATTGACCAAGGTGTTCAACCGGATGAACTCCAACTGTCTCAGGAAGTCAATCGAGAGGTGGTGTCTGAAAGAGAAGGCCAAGAAGCAGTGGAAGGTATTCGTAGTGATATTGCTGATGATAGCATGGAAACAGGGTGTGTGAATAATATTGGGGGACAGAATCTGGAGGCATATTTAGGTTCTGTAGCTCCGGATGGTGTGCTGTCTGACCGAGGAACAGAATTTCTTCCTACTTCTCATGGTTTATCGGTCTCGGGAACAGATATGGCAGGATCTGCTGGTGATTTTCATGCTCCAGATCCAGCTCGTGGTGATGTTGACATGAACGCCACTGAAGTGGAAGGGGACCCAGCTGGGACACAAGTACCTCTATCTGAGATTAACCTCGAGGAGCCGTTACACCAGCAGAACAATTTGGTTGTCCAAGATGCAGAGCAGATGGAGGAAAGTAGTTTGAATAATGAGGTTTCTAATAATGCCAATGGCATCGATCCAACATTCTTGGAGGCACTCCCTGAAGATCTTCGTGCGGAGGTTCTTTCTTCACAGCAAGCTCGGTCGGCACCACCTTCCACCTATGCACCTCCTAGAGTTGAAGACATTGATCCTGAGTTTTTGGCTGCCCTTCCTCCTGATATTCAAGCTGAAGTTCTTGCTCAACAACGAGCTCAGAGAATTACGCAGCAATCTGAAGGACAACCAGTTGACATGGACAATGCTTCTATAATTGCTACTTTCCCTGCTGATCTGCGTGAAGAGGTTTGTGTCTTATAAAATATTCAAGTTGTCACTTATCTGCATTTACTACTTTGTGTCTGTTAATTTCTTCATGTAATCACTTATCTGCATTTACTAACTGTATTTTATTTTTTGTGCATGGTTACTGTAGGTGCTTTTAACTTCTTCGGAGGCACTATTGTCAGCGCTGCCATCTCCCTTACTTGCTGAAGCACAAATGCTCCGGGACAGAGCAATGAGCCACTATCATGCTCGCAGCTTGTTTGGAGGTAGCCAGAGACTGAACAGAGGAAATAGATTGGGGTTTGACAGGCAAACGGCTATGGATAGGGGTGTTGGAGGGTCTATTGGGCGGAGGACAGCTTCTGTAGCTGAGAACGTGAACATGAACGAAATTGAAGGCAAACCACTTCTCGATTCCAAAGGCTTGAAAGCGTTAATTCGTCTATTACGACTGGCGCAGGTAGTTTATACGTTTCATCTACATTTTGTTGAATGGCTGTACGTTGCTAAGTGCATGGACATATTGAGGTTTTTGTGTGATGGGTTGCTAAATAACTGAAATTCAGATTCTCTGAAACTTCTGGCTGAAGATATAGCTTGTTATTAACTAGTGTAGAAACCTTTTTTTATAGGAATTTAACATCTGAATATCCTTGTGCAATGTTGAACTAAAATTCTTGAATATGTTTTGCTTTTAGCCTCTGGGGAAGGGTCTCCTGCAGAGACTTCTGTTGAACTTGTGCTCACACAGTGATACAAGAGCAATTCTTGTTTGGCTTTTGCTTAATATGATCAAACCTGAGACTTCGGGCTTTGTTGGTGGATTGACTTCGATGAATACTCAGAGACTTTTTGGATGCCAATCTGATGTTGTTTATGGCCGATCTCAATTGTGTGATGGTATGCTTGTATTCTCTTGGCCTTCTAATATAATATTTTCCTTTTAACTTCGATATGGGTGATGCTAACAATCAATATGTAGTTCGCAAGTGTATTTTCTCTGCTCCCTCCCCATTCATTCTTTTTAATGTGAATCATTATTTAATAAGTATTGCATAGATGTAACGAGGGGTTTTATTTCACTCAGGTGTTCCTCCATTAGTTTTACGTCGAGTGCTTGAGAACCTGACCTATTTGGCTACAAACCATTCTGGTGTTTCCAGCCTCTTGTTCCACTTTGAGGGCTCTAATATTCCTGAACTTACATCTATGAACCATGGAGGGGACAGTAATGGAAAAGGTAAGGCCATCGTTGGAGGGCAGAGACTTTCTGAAAGCTCCCATAAAGAGGACATTCCTTTATTATTGCTTCTTAGACTTTTAAGTGAACCACTTTTCTTGCGGAGCATGGGGCATCTTGAGCAGGTATTGCATTCTCATCTTCAATATTGATTTTAAAGAGTACCAGTTAATATCATTTTTGCATAATTGGTAATTGGTATATATGCCTTTCACTGATAGATCATGGGTCTGCTCCAAGTGGTTGTATGCGCCGCAGCTTCCAAGGTAGATATTCTGTCAAATGCTGAAGAAACTGCACCTCCTACTGAAAATGCTTCTGGTAACGAATCAGCCAGCGATGTTAGGACAGATGCCAATGCATCAGGAGAAGAATCTAATCAAGTAGACCTGATTGCCAGTTCTTTAAACACTAAATCAGATGGTCAGAGAAACACTAGGACTTACGAAATCTTCTTGCTGATGCCACAATCAGATTTGCACAATCTCTGTAATCTTCTTGGGCACGAAGGGTACACTACTTTTATTTGATCATTTTTTACTTTCTGCTGTTTGTAGAACTCGTGTTTGTCTAATATCTTGTCAGCATGTGTACTTCCATTTTCCAATTTCTTGTATTATCCTAGAGTAATTAGTCCTATGATAAAGAAACATTGATGGGAATTTCATCTGTTGTGTATAATATTACTCAGGCTTTCAGACAAAGTGTACACACTGGCTGGGGATGTGCTGAGGAAGTTGGCTTCAGTTGCTTCTGTTCATCGCCGATTTTTCATTTTGAAACTTTCGGAGTCAGCCGAAAGGCTGAGCACCTCTGCTGTGGATGAACTTGTCACACTAAGGAAAACACACATGCTGGGTTTGAGTGCTGGGTCAATGGCTGGGGCTGCTGTTCTTCGTGTTCTGCAGATTCTCAGTTCGCTTATTTCTATTGGTAGCGATAGTGACAAGGACAGAGTAGACAGTGAGGAACAGGAAGAGCATGACACAATGTGCAAGTTAAATGTTGCATTGGAGCCCCTGTGGAAAGAATTGAGCGAATGCATTAGTACAATGGAGGTGAAGTTGAGCCAGAGCTCCCACTCCATTGTCTCAAGCAATGGCATTGGGGAACAGATTAATGGGCCTTCATCAGCAACTTCCCCTTTGCCCCCAGGGACTCAGAGACTCTTGCCTTTTATTGAAGGCTTCTTTATTCTTTGTGAGAAGTTGCAGGTCAATAGTTCCACTTCGCAGCAAGATCTTAATGTCACAGCAACAGAAGTGAAAGAATCAGTTAGCAGTTCAGTCCAGTTTGCCAAATCCATGGATGTTTACAAGAAAATTGATGGGTCCGTCACATTTGTTAGGTTTGCAGAAAAGCACCGTCGCCTTCTTAATGCTTTTGTAAGGCAGAATCCTGGTTTATTGGAGAAGTCACTCTCAATGATGCTGAAAGCTCCTCGGCTGATTGATTTTGACAACAAGAGGGCTTATTTTCGATCCAGGATTCGTCAGCAGCATGACCAACATTTGTCGGGCCCACTGCGCATTAGCGTTAGACGGGCATACATTTTGGAGGACTCGTATAACCAGCTCCGCATGAGGCCAACTCAGGATCTTAAGGGACGGTTGAATGTGCATTTCCAAGGTGAAGAGGGTATTGATGCTGGTGGCTTGACTAGGGAGTGGTATCAGTTGCTGTCCAGGGTCTTATTTGACAAAGGAGCATTGCTCTTCACCACTGTCGGGAACAATTCGACTTTCCAGCCAAATCCGAATTCTGTATATCAGACTGAGCATCTCTCATATTTCAAATTCGTAGGCCGTGTGGTAACAATCCAAAACCACCTTATTTTGAGTCTTGATTTTATCTAATCATCTTCTACTCAAGTTCTATTTTCTTTCTCTTTTTTTTTTTTCATTTCTTTTTCGTTTTAAAGAAATAAGAGTTTAACCTTTCACTGTTCCATTGCAGGTTGCTAAGGCACTTTTTGATGGACAGTTGCTTGATGTATATTTTACTCGCTCCTTCTACAAGCACATCCTTGGGGTAAAGGTGACTTATCATGATATAGAGGCTGTTGATCCAGATTACTATAAAAACCTAAAATGGATGTTGGAGGTAAGTTGTAGTAACATCGAATCACTTTTTGCAACTGAGAAATTCATTAGTTGGTACTATTTGGTTATCAATTATTTTGTCTTTTCCTTGTGTGCAGAATGATGTGAGTGACATACCGGATCTGACATTCAGCATGGATGCAGATGAAGAAAAGCACATCCTTTATGAGAAAACAGAGGTACTGTGAGGAATGTGTTCATTTTAGTATCTATTGTTCTTTCCTTGTATTTTGAATCTGTAATTTAAACCAAAAAAAAAAAAAATGTCCCCAAAAATTTGCTGATTCATCTCTAATTCTGTAATGTTATTAAAATTATGAGATGTAGGTTACTGACTACGAGCTCAAACCCGGAGGAAGAAATATAAGAGTGACAGAAGAAACAAAGCATGAATATGTAGATCTTGTTGCTGATCACATATTGACAAATGCTATCCGTCCTCAAATAAATTCGTTCCTTGAAGGCTTCAATGAATTAGTACCTCGGGGACTTGTATCTATTTTCAATGATAAAGAACTTGAGCTATTGATCAGTGGTCTTCCAGAAATTGATTGTAAGCGTGACTTTTCGAAACCGTTAAAATTGTCATTTACAACTTTGAAGTATTGTCAGAACCAACTAATGACTTTGATGTCTTTCTAGTGGCTGATCTGAAGGCTAATACCGAATATACTGGGTATACCCCGGCATCTAGTGTTGTTCGGTGGTTCTGGGAAGTTGTTGAAGCATTCAGCAAAGAAGATATGGCAAGGTTTCTGCAGTTTGTAACAGGAACCTCAAAGGTGATTTATTTGAACCTTAAGTTGTCTTTAAATGAACCTCAAATGTGATCTAATATGTGAGCATGTTAATTGTTGTTTCGGTCCTAGATATTGACATTAAGTAATGTACTTGTTGTAGACATTGTACAAGAGGTGTTCATGCTGTCTTCGGTCAGGGGGCTTGCTTTTGTATTTGTCAAAATATTTCCAATAATTTTTCTCACCTAGTATGCATGTTGTGTATGAACTTATTTATAGCCTGAAGGTCTCTATTTCTGGCCTATAATCTATCGAAAAATTTTGTTGACTAATTTGTATTGCTTGTACTATTAGGTCCCTCTCGAAGGTTTTAGGGCACTGCAAGGCATATCTGGTCCCCAGAAGTTTCAGATTCACAAAGCATATGGAGCTCCAGAGAGACTTCCATCAGCACACACATGGTAAATCTATCTATGATATACTGAATATAAGTGTATTTTTTTTTTTTTTTAAGCATCATCTCCTGCAAATTAACTTGTCTCTTTACTACCAATTTACAGCTTTAACCAACTGGATCTTCCCGAGTATTCTTCAAAGGAACAGCTTCAAGGACGTTTGTTGCTAGCGATTCACGAAGCCAGTGAAGGATTTGGGTTTGGTTAAGATTGTGATCGGGTTCGATTGTGGTTCTACGGCACCTGCTGCTCGATTCGTCATTGCAGTATATATAAATATATTGGTATTATTTCTTTTCTTTTCTTTTTTCATCAAAATGTGATAAATTAGTTTGCTTGGCCTGAATTTTGAAAATGTTTTCGAAGGTATAAAAGCTGATGTGGATCCATCCACTGTTCCTTGAGAATCAAGATTGGGGCCGGGACGTAATGGGCTGCTAATTTTGATTACTGTATTTTTTGCCCGAAGAGAGGATGAACGCTTATGTTGCTTGCCGGTGGCGTAATTATTGATACATCTATCTTTTAATGATTAATTATGCATGAAAATTATACATATATATATATATAGATTGGAGAGTAAGAGAGATTGGTTTTGATTATGTTACGACTTGTACGATGATTATGATGATTCCTCTCAATTCTTGTTGTATTCGAGCCGAGGCTAGCAAGATTGAGCTATGAATAATTTCTCAGATACTCACATTGTGGATATGTGATATTGCAATGGCTTTTATTTAATCCAGAGTTTTTGGCTCAGATCAGCTGCTCCTAAAACAATGAGGAACATATATTGAATTGATAAAAACTTGTGATAAAAAAATTATTAAAAGGGTAAAAAAGCACCTATGAATTTTCTTTTATTTGTATTTGTTATATTACTATTTGAAATCATAAGCTAATGTAAATTATTTTTCTTTCAAAAGCCAATGTAAAATCCACATGCAGAGAGAGGCAGTACAACAAACAATAAGAGGTTGTTCCATAATTATGAGCATTGGATGTACTTCCTACTTAATTTTATGTGATAAATGTCTACATTTTTAGTTTCCCTCAAGTCACAAAAAAAAAAAAAAAAAAAAAAAAAAA